TCTCTCATTCTTTCTCTTTCGTCTCTCGTCTCTCTGCTTCTTTCTTATCTAATCTTCGTCCTCTCTTCTGATCTCTTCTTCTTTCCTTCTCTTTCTGTGTCTCAGTCTGTCCTCTACTTTCATCTCTTCTATATAGTATATAATATGGTTATTAATATTTAATATTTATTTTTTATTTATATTAATTTTATTTATTATATATTTACTTATTATATATCATTCATTTTATTGTGTGGTTGTGCGGAAGTGTTCCTTTAATGGAAAATACAATCTGGCACTGGATATTTCTTTGCGGGAGGATTAGCTGACTAAATATCATTTTGCGTGTTGGTTGTGGAGCTTGAGGTAAATGTAATCGTGATCTGGTAAAGCTTGATTGGGTATGTTCACCGCCGTATGGTGTGGAGTTAGTGTACGCAAAAGCAGCGCACACCTGTAAATATCACTCATACATTAATTTATGCAATATAGAAGCACATCCATTCATGTGGGAAATGCGATATTTGCTTATTTCTTATTTATTTGCGTTGTGTGTTCTGGTGTGCGCGTGTTAATTATATTTCCTCTGTGAAGCCATATTTTGGTCCTTTCCAAACTGCCAAACTTCAAACTTATGTATATTCTCTCAATTTTTTATAGGTTATGAACACATATGATTCAAATTATATTATGTATATGGCAAAGCATATATTCCGCAATTATATTTGTGTGTATATGTATATTACATATATGATATTGTATAATTTATATATTATATATATATATATATATTTATATTGTTATATATTGTTGTGTATGGTGTGGTGTGTGTGTGTGTGGTGTGTGTGTGTGTGTGTGTGTGTGTGTGTGTGTGTGTTGTGTGTGTGTGGGTGTGTAGGCCTATATATAACACACCTCCTCTAGTTTGTCCATCTATTGTCTGAATCAATTCTGCCCACCAGACATATTTGCCAGAACATTATGTTGCTGATGTCTTAATTGTAACAACAACACATATTAGCGAGATAGGCATGTTTTTTTTTCGTAAACACTGTGAAAATTAACGAGAATGCTGATACTGTACAATAAGGCATTTTAGCATTATCAGATATCAGTGTGTTAAATGCATGCATATCAAATATCTCAAGGAAGCATAATTTTTTTTTATCCTTTATTTACTGATTTCATAAATTATTCGCTTTGTTTTTTCTTTATTATCACTAATATATTTTAGATGACACTTAGTCTTTAAAATCATTATGTATTTCGCGATTGCCGAGCGCTCACCCAGGCTTACGATAGACATGTTCCCGCTAAAATCTTTTTCCACACTTCAATATCCGTTGCTCTGCTGTCTCGTATCTCGAC